TAGTAGAGAATCAACCAGGCAGTGTTGAGGGTGCGCGCAAACTCCCGCCCAGCTCGACGCTGATTGGTTACGCTTCCTGACCATCAAGGAGAGACCCGTAGTAGGCATAGCAACTGTGTAAAAAGGCGGGTCTACTCGGTCATACTAGCACCGTATTGGGTATTTCTTTCAGGAGTGACGCCCACAAAATACAGAACGTAACTATAATTAAGTGAAACAAACCTGAAGGACGTGGCTTCTGTCAAACGTTAGCGTGAACATTTAATAACTTCTGTACCCAATGTTAAGTTACCCCTGTTTGACAGCATTACGCATGTATTATGTATCAGCTTGTTCCGGCCCCTCAGTGAAGCTATTTATTAATGATTGGATGGATTTCTAAAGAATACACATCACAGATCGTTACACACATACATATGCACGTGAAGTGTGCGCGTCTGTTTTACCTGGCGTTGTTTTTTGATCCTAGGTAAAATAAATAATAAAAAAAACCTTTGTTGAACAATTATGCAAGCACTGGAATGCTTTTTTCATGACCGTGCAATTCCACCGAATTCAAATATGTATGATCTATGTTTTGCCTGTCATTCTATGCAAATCCCTAAAAGATAGCCTGGCACAGGCCTCCAGGTCACCTTCCTTATCAAAATCAGACAAGATGGCTCAGTTGCTGGGAGTCGTCCTGCAGGCGAAGGCAGCAACACTGGTGAAGTGCATGTTGATTGAGAGTGAGGAAGTACCACGTTTTTTTTTGTCAGTCAGTCATTAATATTTCCTGTTTTTCCTGGAAAAAAAAGAAAAAACATTTTGGTCTGAAAGAGGTTACAGGTATGCAAAGTCTCATTTATTTTATCATAAAGTAAAGACCAGCTGATGAAAGAATAATCATATGAGCGCAGGCCTCTAAAACTCAATGTGTTTTATTTTGGAGTCATTTGAACACTTACAACCAGCAAAGTACTCCCCAATCAGGTAGAGGACAAGTGGTTGGTTGGTTGGTGCTGAATGTTTGTGCAAAAACTCACAGATTCCTTCCATCATCCATTGACTTATGACAATCCACGGCTGGGTTACGAATCAGCGGGATTGGGAGCGTGTTCCAGACGTCATTTCCCCGACGACGCTTTCCAGCTCCTCCTGGTCATGTTCCCAGAAAATCTCTGAAGGGAGACGTCCAGTCCAGGAGGCATCCTGATCACATGCCCAAAACACCTCAGCTGGCCCCTTTCGCCGAGAAGGAGCAGCTGCTCTACTCCGACCCCCCACCCATGATGTCTGAGCTCCTTACCCTATCTCTAAAGCAGAGCATGGAGGAAGCTCTTTTCATCCCCTTTTATCCACAATGGCATTATTTTGGTCACTACCCTAAGCTCATGACCATAGGTGAGGGTCTGAATGTAGATGGACGGGTAAATTGATTCTGGCTCAGCTCCGTCTTCACCTCAAGGTTCTGGTACAACGTCGGCAGCACTGAGTCTTAAGGATCCAATAAAACTGCATCTGCAAAAAAGCACGGATGCAAGGTGCTCTCTCCTGAAACGCTTTTAAAACATGTCCGGGAAAATCCCAGTTACAGGGAAGTTGCAGCTCACCATTTATTATTTCTTGATGATATTTAGAAGGTTTTTCTATCTGAAGCACATGCAGCTGATACTGAGAGCACTGGCACAAGCACAGTTGTTATGACCCACTGCTTGAACTTCACATGTCCTTTCAGGTGCTCTGGCACGGATGTGAGCAGTGAGAGGCCTCTTCACTGGAGGTGTTGTGCTTAATGTAATGCTTAGTGAGGCATTATGAAAACCAAGACAGGCTGCAACATTTCATAATGTCAGAGAGGTTGGATTGGCAGAGCATGCAAGTATAGAATACATTTCCTGTGGTTAGATTTATTTATTTTCACTTTTGCCTTCAAACTTACTTTGAGCTGCAACAAGCCAACATTATACAAGAATATACAAAGATATTTCTGAGGGGTCTGAATTAAGTCATAAACAAAGAAAGCTTCAGAACACAGAGAATATTACCTATCCATATACTAGTTGTTTGGTTAGATACAATCTATCTTTCTCTAAATGGTCTCTTAGCAATGTCTGTCTGCTTAAGCAAATCAGAGGATAATACAAATTAGCTTCATACAAAAGCCGAGTTTCTCCTCTGTCTCCCTCTAAAGGTCGGTTTTGATCATGCTTCATTCATCATATCAATGGAAAAAGAAAAGGTTTTAAAGACAAACGTGTTGTGCCTTCTACTGATCATAGAACGCTAAGACGTTGTTTTATTTCCTGTTTTGATATCAACTTCAGCGTGTACATTTTTTGCAGAAATATTTTGACCGCAGCCAGAAAGTCTAGGAAGGCTCTCTCAAGGAAGGCTTTTCCTGGCTCTCCTCCTGTGTCAGGGCTCTGACTCTCCGGGGGGTTGTTGACCCGGAGGGAAGGGAACAGGGACGCTGCTGCCGAATACAGCCGAATCGTATCTACATCGACCCTCCTTGTGTCCCCTGTTTGGCATTCATACGAAAAGTAGAATGCACCTTCTTCTTGTCTCATCAAACCGCCTGTCTTGATTTTCATATTGCCTCACTAAGCATTACATTACGCTCAACATCTCCATTTACCCGTCCATCTATATTCAGACCCTCAACAATTACTTTTTATCAAGACAAGATAAGATAATCCTTTATTAGTCTTGCAGCGGGGAATTCACAGGATTTACAGCAGCGTTGGGCAATGTGCAAACAACAGACAAAAGATTATGAATATCCAGTTGCAAAGGTAAAGAAGAATCCACAATAACTGAAAAGAAAAATGATATATACAGACAATGACTACATAGCTCTTATTGCACAGTTTGTGTATATTGCACAGGATATAAGTCTTTAAAGTGCTTTGTGGTCTACGGTAGGAAGAGCTGGTTGTGCAGCCCGACAGCAGCAGGAAGAAAGGACTTGCAGTACTTCCGCTTCACACACAGAGGGGGGGTGGGGGGTGTACAGAGCTGCCAGGGTGTCTTGCATGGGGTTGCAGGTGTTGTCCAGTAGGGATTGACAGCAGCTTCGCAATCATCCTCGCACCACTTCCACCGTTACCAGTGGACACCCGAGTTGTAGTATTCCGTGTCATCACTAGTGGAAATGAGGCCGACACGGTTGCAAGTCTTGTTTCATACCAACTGCCTGTGAGGTGTATAATAGGATTTCACATTTTAAAACATTGTCTAACTATAATTGGATTGCATTCTTCACAATTACAACTTTTGGCAGCAAGACCCTGTGGAGAAACTCTTTTCTCTTGAGCTGGTGAGATTCAGACAACCGTGTCAACACAAGGGGGGGCACTGCCTCTACTTTCCAAACTCTGGGACTTATCAACGTGCTACTGTCAGTGGCTTTTATAACAAACTGTCAAGGGCTTGATACTTCCTCTTCTCATTTTGGTTGACCCAGTCACTTACACCAGATTGTGTTATTATTATGGCCTTGACACAAGTGCCCTAATGAGCACTTTTCCTCTAACTGGACCATGACATAATGGGAAAATGCCACAGGCATGATACTGTCCACTATCACTTCCAACTACACAATACCCACATCGCAGATTGGCCTTGGATTATAAAAATAAATCATAACAGTATTTAGTCTTCTTATGTAAGAGAGACTGTTGTCCAAAAACAGATGGATATGTAAACATTTTCTTTAACGTAATCTGGGGAATATATTTGGATTTAGAGCATTAACATGGCAGCAAAGAAGTATTTGCTATTTAAGTTCAAATAGGCATAGTTACTTGAGCTGAGAACAAAGTTGCTCTACCGGCCTCGCCGTCGCTATAAAGAGCCGTTGGGAGAAATGTGTCGGCTATGGCCTCTTTGAAAAGGAAATAAATGAGACAAGAAAATGGAATTAATGTATAACCGTGGTTGAATTGGTCACATCACATGCACACCGATGAGGAGACACAAGAATACATTTAGTCTTGAACACCTCTCATTCTGATTGACAGGAATAGAAAAAATATTGTGTATTTTATGCTTTTTCTACGTCAATAAATATAAATAATTAAGTTTCCATTAATTTCCAGCTACGTATCCTTGCAACAGATTAAAACAGGTCTGCGCACAAAGAATTGCACAAATAAACTGTAATTGCAGAAGTGAATATATTACGTTTGAAGCCAACAGGTTAGTTTGAAGTTACAATCCTATAAAGTCACTCTACTGCATTAAGCCAGCAAACAGGTTACGCAAGTGTGTATAAACTCCCTGACTATACCACAACGGAAAAAGTTTGATATATGATGACAGAAATCACATCATCCCACACAATGCCCCTCTCAGCAGTGGAGAGTAGCTAAGCACATTCATTTAAATAGCACATCGGAGGACAATCTTAAAGGACCTGTAGTGTATTTGTGTATTTTAATGTTGTGCAACTTTTCTATTCTGACACATTTCACACATACAAACACATGATCCGTTTTTCATATATATATGTATTTTTTATTAAACTGCTCAAAAGAACATAGGTGGCACAAATTAAATAAAGTTCTCAGTGATGATAATGAGCCCAATAATAAAATAATATCACACAAAAAATGCTCATTCTGTCCAATTGATTATCATACTTTTGATACTTAAAGTACATTTAGATGATACAATGTAATTTTACTTGAGCCACATTTTCAATGCAACACCTTTACTTTTAATAGCTTTATAGTGTGTATTGCTAAACCATACGGTGTTGCTTTCATTTGAGTCTCGGTAGATGAAGGAGTCCAGTTCACCCATAGTGTGACCGAAAAGCTTTTTTTCCCCTGTTGCTCAGAAGCGTGTGTCTGGCACAGATGTGCGTTGATGTGCTTCCAGCCGTTTGTGGGAAATCATGACGCCCCGGACCAATGGTCTGGTCTGGTCTGGACTGGAGGATCCTCCCTGCAGCCTGTGAGATCATCACACATTTAATTAGCCAGGATCTACCAATTAACGGGCAGTCAGACGCTCTTTTAAAAGAAGCCGAGTCAAACCTCCAGCAGTTGTCTGACAGAGGCTCAAACGAGGTGGGTTATCTTTTATGTCCTCTTTTACCTCTCTGGATTTTCAGAATGAATCAATTCTATTCTATTCAGACGTATTCTGTGTGTGTGTGTGTGTCTCATGCTTTGTTTTATATTTGCAGAAGGATGTCTTCCGCTGTACTTTCTGCTGTTATTCTGCTGGCGTGTGCCTTGGCATTTAGTGCCGCTCAGAGTGAGTGTAACTTGTGTGGCTTTTGTACAGCATAGAGGAACATTTAACTGTATTATTTAGTATTCTCAATGCCAGCAAATTCCCTTTCCTGGAATATATCCTGGATGTTTTCTGTTCATGTACTATTTATTCTGTTAATAATCATTGACTGGTTGAGTAATCATTCAATGCGGATTTGTCACTGCTTCAAAAATCGATGTGTGGCACAATATGTTATTTACACACCGCGTCCTAAAGTACCGGTACATGTTATTGGACAAAAGATGAAGCAAATTTTAAAGGGACGGGTGTTGTAATGTTCTTCTCATCTCATGAACAGCAAGCTGTAAAAGTCGATGTGGTGCTGAGTACTACAGGGGCTACATGTGTCAGTGTGACTACAACTGCCTGTCTTATGGAGAGTGCTGCAAAGACTTTGAATCCCAATGCACCACAAGTGAGAGTTTGCTCTATTTCCTTTTCCATTTCCCAACGCTGAGGAGAGCATAATTTCCTGCACTGCCTTAAATGTTTCATATGAAACGTACTCAAATAATCATTTTGATCTAAAACAAACAGCGCTGAGTAATCATGTTGAATTTGTTTGCAACAGAAAACTCATGCAGAGGACGGTGTGGAGAAGACTTCAAAAGAGGCCGGCTGTGTACCTGCGACCCTAAATGCAATGATTACAAACAGTGTTGTCCAGATCACAAAACCCACTGTGACGCAGAAGGTAAGCCTTGCATAATAGAGTCGGCACGCTGAATGTTAACCTCGACAGATTTCCCTCACAGTTTAGTTTGGAGTAAAACCACCATGTTATTTGCCTTTCTCGAGTAACATAAACGCGGTTTCACATTTTTGGCCTCTTTTCTGATATTGGATGCAAATTATTAGCACATACAGTGAAGGTTCAGTCAAAGCATGATGGCATGTTGAAGTCTGCCCCCCCCCCCCCATGTGCACTGTAATGCATTAATGATTATTTCAGTTTAGTATATTTTTTATAAATGCTGAAGTGCAAAGAAGACAGGGTTAATCTGACATGGCATGTCCACCAGCATGTGGAGTAACATGAAACGCATGCAGTAATGTGCACCGCTGCATTGGGATAAATTTGACCATCATTTCTGTCTTGGTTAATTACCACAGAAGAAATCGGCAGTGCAGCCAGTGCAACAGCACCAGTGAAGACTGATTCGTGCAATAATGTAAATGGCAACAAGCCCGAAGGTATATTTGACGGCAAAACATTTTTTTGCATATTTTCCGCTAGGATTTAGGGCAATTCTTTTTACGCAGCCTTAACCCTTAAACTTTTATTCATGAACATTACCACAGAGCCGACTGTGAATGATGCAACAGAGCCTTCTACATTCAGCAAGGGACAAGATCCAGGTGACTGTATTTTACTGTTTTACACAACAGTACGTTATGTCAGGATGATGGCAGAAAGATGTTTACAGTTGACAGCCAGGTTTGCCAACAGCACAAGCGCCACCAGCCAGAACAGAACCACAAGGAAGCAATGTTGTCGTGAGTGAGTGGGCGGGAGGGAGAGTTACGGGCACATGCTAAGTCACTAGAGAGGAAAGCACGAAATGAAGCCAAGAAATTATGACACAACATTTTCTTGGAGGATTATTTTCAGTAGTTGGCTTGGAATAGTTTTGCTGGTGGTGACGCTCTTGCGTACGTGTTACTTCTCTCTCAGGAGGAACACAAGTTGTGACATTTCCGTCTGGAAAGACATTCTGTGTCGCTGTAGTACGAGATCAGAACAGCGACAAAACAGCATTGTGTTTTTTGTTTTAACGCTGTCTCACTGTTATCACTATCTGATATTTCATTATTTTGATCGAGCCACAGATGTCCAAATTTTGCTCCGTGTGTGACATCCTGGCATCTCTTACAACTTTTTGAATTCCTCCAGATATCAACGGAGAAATTCTTCCCAATGAGGATTCTTCCAATAACGAAGTGGGAGACCCAGAAGAAATTCCATTCCCAGAAAGCACCAGTGACCCAGCTGACCTGCTGGATCCCATTCCTACCGAACCCATCGAGGATCCAGATACTCTGGAGGTCCCTACAGAGACATTTACAGCCTCCTCCCAGGCACAAACGACTGTCTCAGACAAAGAACCAACACAGGCCGAGGACGGCTCCGCCTCACCGTCCCCCACCGCTGTAGAAGCCTCAACTGAGAGCACAGGTACGTGATATGCAGGGAGTACCTGGCATGCACAGATAGATCAGTGACAAATTAAAACAAATAAATAAAAAACATTTTTCTAAAGGACTTTCTACTGCAACTCCAGCTCTCTAATCACAGTATCCTCCCACAGCCAAACCCACGGCGGTCGAGATGGCGGGGCAGGAAGAAGTACTCCCCGAGGACGACAATCCTGCCGAGGTTCTGACTGAAGCCCCCTCTGATGAGCCAGAGGAAACATCTCTCTCCAAAACAACTGTGGCCCCAATATCCACAGAACCCACACAGGCCTCCGATGGCCCGGACGACTCTCAGGTCACCACCCTCTCTGCCTCAATGCCGGACCCGACACCCATCCCCGAAGTGACCCCTGCAAACAAACTGGATGACGCTGATCAAGACACAGCGAGTGTCACAACGGGCCCTGCGTCACTCAATGTCACACCAGAACCGACCAAACCCACACCATCTGAGGTCACCTCTAAACGGCAAGATGAACCAGACCCGATTCCAGCTGACCCGACTCCAGCTGAACCGACTCCAGCTGAACCGACCCCTGCTAAACCGACTCCAGCTGAACCGACCCCTGCTAAACCGACTCCAGCTGAACCGACCCCTGCTAAACCGACTCCAGCTGACCCGACTCCAGCTGAACCGACCCCTGCTAAACCAACTCCAGCTGAACCGACTCCAGCTGAACCGACTCCAGCTAAACCGACCCCTGCTAAACCCAGCTCCAAAGCGGAGACTAAGCCTCTGACCCCTGCACAGACTGTCAACACAGACAATCCTAGAGACTACCAAGCAGGTGAGAAATGTTCTTAACACAGCGGCCGTTGATAAAGAAATTACCTTAAAGATAAATGATGTGACTCTGGGAGGAGGAATGTCAGTATGAGGACTGATATTTTCTAACAATCTTGCAAAATATTGCATTTTGTGGTACAGGTTTATTACTGCCCTCAGCCTCCTTTATGAGCTTGGTTGTTTTGTCAATACACCCTTGGGTGAACAGAGCTTCTTTCAACAAATACCCGCACCTTACCAAGCGAGAGAGGTGGCTGTTTACACTTTAAAACTAAAGCTTAGATACTATAAAGAATGAAGAGGAATTATTACAGCTCCTGGAGCACAATGTTACAATAACAGCCAGTCTCTTGTCTCTAATAGCAGGTCTTACCGCTTATTTAACCAAAATTCTTTCTCTCAGATGACAGCAACGATACTGATCTGTGTAGTGGGCGGCCGGTCGGTGCAGTGACCACGCTGAAGAACGGCACCATGGTGGTTTTCCGAGGTGAGTGGCAGCTAGGTGGCTAATCGTTAGCCCTAAGACTGTGACGTGTTTTCAGTCCAAATTCCAGTTATTCGCACACAAGAGAGAAGTAGTAGATATTTTGTCACGTTTTATTAATTCCTCATGTCCCACAAGTAATTTTACGAGCCCTTAGATTTAACTGGAGGGGCTTTCTCAGGACCGAGCCCCCTAGGTTGGAAATACTTATACATCCATAGGCACTTCAAGAGAGACTTTTTTTTCATTTTGGGAAATTTTTCAGGGCACTACTTCTGGTCTCTGGACAAATACATGGTGCCTAGTCCGGCTCGTGTTATCACACAAGTGTGGGGCGTCCCTTCCCCCATCGACACTGCCTTCACCCGCTGCAACTGCCAAGGAAAAACATATATATTCAAGGTATAATTTTTTCATCTTGATTTAACAAGTGAGCATTTGCATGGATCAGGATGCCAATTTGGTGGAAAAGTCTGGATCTTGTCACATTTTCTCCTAAGCACTCTTGGCGAGTCATTCACTTGTAAATTGTGTTTATTTTTGTTGCTTGAGGTTTAATGTTTCGATTGTGATCTCTGCAGGGATCCCAGTACTGGAGATTTGAAAATGATGTGTTGGAACCGAACTATCCAAAGGCCATTACCACTGGCTTTGATGGGCTTCGGGGCCAAATTACAGCTGCTCTGTCTGTGCCTCAGTACCAAAGGAGGAGGGAGTCAGTTTTCTTCTTCAAGAGAGGCGAGCCACTCTAACTACGATACAACTCCACCACAAACATGCAAATACATTCTAAAAAATAACTCTGTTGGTTCTTCCAGGAGGATCGGTGCAGAAATATTCATACAAGTTTGGCCTCAGTTCATCATGTGGAAGGAAAGTCCAGTCCCCGGTTTACACGATCCACAGTCGAATGGTTCGATCAGCAGGTATTCCAAGAATAAAAACTGTGTACAGGACAACATGTGTTTTAACTTACATTCGTTAAAACAATGACAGATTCACGCAAACGTAAGGAGAATACAGGTTTTTAACCAAGCGCTTTAACAGATTTACTTGGATTCACGTTAACTCACATTTAAGGAGTTTCAACACATGAGGTCACTGAAAAAGTGAGTCCTTCTTTTGTGACTGAGAAGGGCAGCAGGGTTCTTCCTGTAAATATAAGTGAAAATAAGTTGCCTGTGTAACATTTATGCAGCTGTTTAGGGGTATAACATATGTTAAACCTGTGTATCAAAATGTTTAATTGCAAAAAATAATAATTGTGTTACTTAATTTGAATTTGAATATTTGGTTTCCAGCATCTCATCTTGAGCCAGCAGTTAACATCCGGACAGCTTGGAGAGGTTTCCCCTCCACCATCACAGCTGCTGTGTCCGTCCCGAGCAGAAGAGATCCAGAGGGATACAAATACTACGTCCTATCAAGATGTAAGTCATTGATGTTCATAGTTCTCCGTGAAGACATTTCCTTTAAAATGTCTTCTGCTAGGTAAATTTGTTAGCAAGCAAAATTAAGTTTTAAGCGCCGTGTTCTGCACATCAAGGCACAAATTGGAATTCAGTCAAAAGAAACTCCTTGCCTTGTTTTTGAATTTCCACAACCAGGTAACTGGTTCACAATATATTTAATTGCTTAAGAGGAATACTCCTCTTCAAAAGAACAAAACGTCCTCATTCTGTCTGCACTTCTTCACATCATGTCTGCCTAACAAGGACCTGGTGTGTCAGGACATTAGGCAGATGTAAAGGTAATTTAGGGCGGTGTCCTTTTACCTACAGCTCAAATGGAGCAACCACATAGTAAAAATATTCCACTTAAATGACGGGAACTACCGTCTAAAGAATACTGCAACTCCTGTCTGAAAAACCCATTGGTATAATTGTACAGGGATGGTCTTCACGTCGTCATTTATTTAATAACACTCTAGCGCTTAAGATTTAAGCCCAAAAATAGAAACTGGCATAAACATGAGCAAAAATAAACATCCTGAATACTATCCATGAATCAAAATGCTTATTGGAACTGTTCCGTTTGTTTTGCAGCCACATCCTACAATGTGAGGATTTCTAGCAATCGTCCCATCGTTCCTGCTCCTGCAACCAACGCGCCACCACAGAGCAACGACTTCTTGAAATGCCCAAAGAGAGCGTGAGGAAGGAAAGAGGCATCAAATGCGGCTCATCTTACAGCTCTCAAGTTTATTACATACTTCATAAAACACAACGCTTAAGCATGGACTGATAGCAAAAATGTACTTTAACAGTATATAAAGAAAAAGAAAACTTAAAAACAACAAGCTTCAAAACACGCAAACATTGTCATGGCTGAAAAGAGAATATGAAAACATCGGTTTAAAAATATCTAATGTGTTTTTGAAGGGAATGGAAACCTTTTCTGTCACTGAGTTTTCTCACTGCTGCTTCATCTCACGAATCGTCTCCCATGAACACCCCGAGAAGGAAATCCCTGACCTGTTGGGAGATTTAAAAAAAAAAAGTCAACCTGCTATAGTGGCGTAAAGAATTTGTACAGTGGCTGTATAACATGTGTAAGAAATGTAAACAATGAGTGTTTCCATCTAATATTTTAATCAACAATAAACTGAATTGTACACCGCCAAAACATCTTCAGTGCTTAAACTGTTAATTCAAATAAAACAAATGCTTTACCAGGATTTTGATTTTGTGTGCACATCGTGACTGTTAGTCACGTCATTAGGCAGAACATTTGAGTTAAAGTGTATTACAAGTTCACAAATAGACAACGATTAGTTTAGGCCAGTGTTCATTTTGGCAGCTATTTTTGATTTAGTCTTAAGACAAAAAATGCATATTAGTTTTAGTCACATTTAGTCATTTGAATCCTTTTTAGTTTTTGTCTAGTTTTCGTCGACGTAATTAGTTTTAGTCACATTTAATAGCCATATTAAACTCCTTTTCCTCCCTTCTCAGGCCCAGGGGACCTCCTGTGTTGTGTCTACAACTGCATAATAGTCTAACTTGCAGTACTTGGTTGTTCATCAGATGTCCCTCCTAGGACAGGTCTATAGCAGCGGTCGGCAATCTTTTTGACTCGCGGCCACAATGGGTTGTAAAATGTGACGGAGGAGCCGGGCCAAGAACAAATGGTTGAAGTGTTTGTGTGAGCTGATATAAATGACATGTGAAAAACCATTACATGAAAGGATTTGGATTTTAACAAATAGCAAAGCATTTATTTGCAAGGCAATTTAACAAAAAGGTGTAACAAGTTCATGAGGACCAGAGATCTAAACGCAACACTTTGTTGTCTTTGTCTGTTTACTTTCAATGCCTTTGATACTTCATGGTCCTTTATTGTTTCCACTGTCCCAACAAGCCCGCTAACAGTCAGCTAAACCAAGACAGCAGAGCTAAACTAAGGAAGCGCACATTCAAACTCGCCGAAGCGTAAAATAGTCGTCGCGGTCCGTAGTCGGTGCACAAGAGCCACCGCTGCACCAATGCGAGCGCGCGTTCTGGGTTCGTGGATGACGTCATCATGACTCGTTAATAACCGCCGTACGCGGCCGTACTTTGCCTGTCTGTTGTCTGTTAGATGGAACAGCAACGACAGATGAGGAATGTGGAATGATATGCAAGAATAGTCCCTGACCGGAACATTATGGTCACGTTGATGTGAAAATACAAACACTGACAAACAAACCCTTACATACAGCATGCTGGCCGTAGCAGAACTATTATAATAGCCAAACAAGACTATACAACTAGATAATCAACATTATCAAAGTACGGTGAGCATCTTCAACCACAAAACTGTATATGAAAACCTTCATTGTGTGTGCGTTTGCAGACGTTACCTCTCTTCATGCGGCCACCACGGTGTTCTGGCCACCGCTGCAGCTGTCTGCTGGTTCCAGGTCTAGAGGGCTTAGGTGGTGCACTGCTTGTATCTAGAAACACAAACAAAAACAGCAATAAGAAGAGCACCCTAATTGTCACCCGAGACATAAAGACAGCCACATAGCTACAGTACCTGCAGAGCTGGAGGAGGGCTCCTGACTGGTGGAGGGGAGGCAGGCCTTGTCAGATTGCTGGCCTGGCTCCTCTAAATCTCCCTGTGAGACCCCTGGGTCTACCGAAACATCTGCACTGGGCCTGGAATCAACAGCGCAAACACATGGGATCAGATAACATTGTACAGTCATGTAATCTTAAAATCACAATGAGAGAAAATAAAAAAAAAGACTCATGAACCTGCTAACCCCCTTGATTAAACTATCATAAATCAAGCGGAGTCACATCTCATGTCAGGAGAAAGTTGGCAGACTGCTCAACATCTAAATTCCAAGAGTTAAAAAACGAAAGGATTGATAAAAAGCACAGAGGAGTGAGGCTCACCCATCAGTGTCTGGCTCCAGAAAGACGTCATCTCTGTCCTCCCCTGGGCACGGAGCTCCTGGCACAACCAGGCCGGGTGTGGACGTGCTCACCATGGGAACCGACTGGGAGGCAAGCTCACTGGTGGTGTCCGACTGAGCCACTTCCGAGACGATTGCTACTGGAAAAAGAACCAGATACACCTAGTGATTTTGTTGAAGCATGTGAAAGCACTCCCAAATCTGACAATTTCCATCCAGCTGCCTATTTTCAGGAACTGTAATCAGAGTTAAGTGTGGAGATGAAAAAAGGTGGGTCTTTATTAAGTCTATATTAACAGATCCGACCTTCATATCGGGCTGACAGACAAAAGGAGGCCGCTACCTGGTGTTGCAACCTGTAGCGGTGTGGTGGGAAAGCTGCGTCCACCAGACTCTTCGTGAGTTGCTAGGAACAACGGGCTTTCATAAATTCCCAGACCTGAAAACAAGTGAAAAAATAAACCTTTAATATTTGGTGTAAAATGAAAATCATCTTTCCGTTGCATCTATCTGGTGGGATGTCTAAATAAATGTGGTTTTACATCAATTCTAACTCTGCCAACATGTGCTGGTGGAGTACCTCCTTGTGAGGAGAGCTGTCCCAGGTCCGAAGAGGAGCTGGTCTGTGGCGCATCTTCTGAAAGACCGTACCTGAAGCGAGGCACGCCGGCTACTTGGGGAGAACTGAAAAACAAAAAAAACAGCCGTTCATCTCTTGAGACTGCAGAGGGGGTTTAAGGCAGTGGTCCCCAAACTAAGGCCCGCCTCCACATTTTGCCCGGCCCCCTGAACAATACCAGACACGCAGTATGATTTTTATTTTTTTCAGTCTGGCCACGCAAATCCTAGACTATCTCCTGTCAAATAGAACGGAATAATGGAGACAAGGTTAGGTAAGAGAGAAATGGATTCAGAATGCAGAATATTTAACCTGCAGCGGTCAAAAGATTTTTTTTTTTTGTTCAGAGCAAAGAAAAGGCTGTCTCATCTGTCAAGAGACGGTATTCAAAGAATACAATCTGCGTCGACACTACGAATCCCGTCACAAAGACAAGTTTGATAACCAGAGAGGGTTATTTGGTTATAATTTATTTCATTAATAGTGTTATTATTTATTTCCTGACTTTTTTTTTCTGTGAAGATCCCGGAAAGGGTTATTAATATTTGGTTATGTGTGGCTTTCTGGAAAACAATAAACATTTACATTTAGGGATCCCAGCGATCGTCACACTTTTTCTGTTACAAACTGACCCCGGCCCCCATCAGAGAAGCGAAAAGTTATGTGGCCCTCACAGGAAAAAGTTTGGGGACCCCTGGTTTAAGATCTCAGGTGCTTTTCCGAACACTTTTTACATTAATATCTTAATATTCACTCAAGCCTCTGACGAACTAAAACTCAAAAAGGTAAAAAGGTCCAAGCCCATAAAGTAGAGGCCTGTATGAATGATTTAAAGTAATCGAAAAAATTATGAAAGTTTCAAGATTCAATGTTACAAAAAAATATAAACAAAAAAAAGTCAACCAAGAACCACGGTTGTCAAAATGTCGTCTAAAAGTGTGTTGAATAATCCAACCCTGTGTAATATGTCATCATGTACTCTATCACCAATTAATTTGTCACCCATGTATTTGAATCGTTTCACTTGCATTCTGACTTCCTAGTCAGACTTACAGGATGGACTGGTCTGAAGCGTCGGATCGCTGTGGCCACACCAGAGTGGGAGTGCTGGGAACCGTCCGGTCATCATCATCACAGACGTGCTGCTGTAGAGGAAGAGAAGAGAGGAAGTTTTAAAAATACAAAAAAAAACAAACACAGGAGTAAAATGTTTTACGCAGACATTTGTGTATGTGGCGTAATGAACGGACTTACGGAAGTGCCTGGCACGCCGGCAGTGAGCTGCGGGACCCGGCCGACTGACTGGCGGCGAACAGGGATACGCTGTGAAGTTGTTAAAAAATGAATTAGCAGAGCTGGTGATCTACCTCTTTTCACTTTTCCATTCTCAGGGTCAGATTTGTCTTCCTTCATACCTGTGAAGGTGGTCCCAGTTCTGATGTTGGCGCAATGTTCAGGCGAGAGGGCAGCTGGTGTGTCGGTCTCCGTGGCGACTGAGGCATCCGTGTACCAGAGCTTGTGATGGGTTGTTCGATAGAGTATGCCTCCATTGTACTGCTGTCAACTGAAACAGTAGATTGTGCTAAAATAAATGTCCATGTCATTTGAAACATTAGATCAACACCAGGTGTTTACAAAACTACTGAAACCAAACCAAGTCACTAGTTATAGTATTGTTTGAGCTAAAAATCATCGACTAATTTTTGTCAAATGTCAGTTCAAAAACCAATTATTGTTTGACAGCATCACTAAGTTATTAAAAGAGAAAGTCATGGAATGTAGCAGATTAGGTTTCGTTGGTCTAATATACTAAATTTGAGTTTAGGTTACTACCCCAACAATATAAGGCCACAAAATATCTTGAATTATTAAGATTCATTTTCAAAGTAAAGCAAGCCTTGTTGGAAATTACCTTTGTTTGGGCAGACACACGCACTAATCCCGTTCAAACAGACAACAACATATTACATCTTTCTGAGCCACCGTCAAATGTCTGATAACTAATTGGGTGGCGGGACAGTTTATGAGCACATGCGGGGAGTCAGAGGTGGATCTACGTGTGTGAATTTGACAAGGTTTCCCGGATCTTACAGCTAGGTGTCTGGGAATCGGCCGGCCTCTGGGTGGAGTCAGACGCCCCCAAACTCTCTTCCGTTTCAGTGCCTGGGTCAGTTACATCAGCTCCCTGGGGGGAAGAAAAGGGAACAGAACACAAGGAAATAATAATTTGCGGCAAGAGAAAACAGGGGTTAATAAAAAAGTAAAATGGAAAAAGCGGGAATAGGAAGAGGAGTATGGTCGAATGAGTATGGTCGAATTGGAGGAGACATGTTATGACACACTAGAGATGCCAGCACATACTGGCAGGGCACCACAGTTTTCCTAAAATGGAACAGAGAAACCCTTCAGAGAAGAAAATGATTCTTAAAAAAAAGAATTGAGTGAAAGCAATCTACTTTGATGTGTAATTGGTTTAAAATGTTGAGGACCCACACAGGAACATTAAGATTCTATAATGGAAAACCTTTTTCCCAGCTCAATGCATCTTTTTGCAGTTTGAAGCCCAATTTTAGATTGCATTTTTATTAAACTGAGTGCGTTATATTTCCACGCACACTGACATGAATATGTCACAAATATGTCCGTGTGCCGTCTCGTTCGCAGCAGCGGGGCATGGAGCTCATAGGTTTACAGGATTCAGTTTAACAAAAAACACCAGTACGACCCTTCTGTTGTGTCTGAAATTTCAATGATAAATTTGGATTATTTCAGATCGACATTTTTCTTCAACTGCTTCAAACTTAATTTATTAGTTATGACCAGAGTACCCACTCACAGGGCCGCGGTTAGCAGATTCCCTGGAGGTAGATCACAAGTGAAAGACTGTCACTTTGTAGACACTGACTCATCCTTTAGAACATATGCAACCGAGCTTAAAAAACATCTAAAGTGAACAAACGCAGCTTTCATGCAGAAAGTTACAACAGTGTCAAATGCACATTACTTTGAAGTGAGACTTTGTGGAAAAACTTAGTGTGTGAGCTGGAAAGGGCACATCAATCTCTCACTGAAAGCGTGGGAAGGGTTAACATGGAGTACTCGATGCGACTGGGACTGTGTGTAGTAGTACATGAACCGAGTACCGTAAATTCCAGAATATAAGCCGATACTTTTTCCCCACGTTTTGAACCCTGCGGTTTATACAACGGTGCAGCTAATGTATCTTTTTTTACGGGAGAAGTGCAAGTGCAAATTACGGGCGACCCATCTGGCTGTCGGAGAAGGAGACTAAGCGGCTGCACGCAGTGGCGTAGTGTGTATTTTTGTAGTGAGTATACCGTGACTGCTGTGCTGACGGGGGGGGAAGGGAGGAAGGGGCCGCGGACGCTACACTACGGCCAACGGGGAGGTTGAATAAGGAACCTATGCGGCTAGATTTTAACTGTCATAAATATAATTTGTCATAAGTTTTGTGTAATATTTTGATGCACTTGTTTATTAATTGGTAGTTGTGCATTTTGTTCTCAGGAATATGTATTTTTTGTTTAATTTACACCAAGTAGGAACTATGTTTACTTAATTCGTTTCGCGGGGACATATTTTAGTGTCACAAAGCCCAAGTAGCATGTGAAGCGTCAAGTAGAGTAGAACTTCGCAAAATGATTAATAATTTAAGACAAAGTGCCCATTAAGTAGTCATTGATTTAATGTTTTCTCATTCCCCTCTTGGTTATGTGCAGCCAGTGAGGTACGTTATGTTTAAGGTTTTGTCATACATAGTTGTCAATACGTTCGTATGACGATATGATGATTGCTTGAAGCCTGTCAGTGTGTTTTAGTTCGACGGTGGATACCAATGTGGACGACAAGTGGATAAAGGTGTATGAAGATGGTGGGGAGAGAGATGTCCATGAAAGGAATTAATCCATCAGTAACGTTTCGAGGTCTAGTGTATTTCCTGGAGGGAGTGAAAACAATGTTGTTTTGTATCATTGCGCGTTTGTTGGAGGGTATCAGAAATCCTTGACTTTTCCTAGTGGGTATACAGCATATACCTGCGTATCACGTAAACTATACCACCGGCTGCACGTAAACGTTGGAGACGGCAATGTGAAGAACTCCGGCACGGACGACTGAGCGTCAGCAGTCGCTTTACTGCCGCATGAACACCTGTGGCTTGTAGCCCGGTGCGGTGTATATATGTACACATCTTTTTTTCGTTCTAAATTTAGGTGGTGGGGCTTGTATTCAAGTGCGCTCTATAGTCTGAAATTTACGGTACATGAACGTCATAGTCGAACCAAATCAAACCTTTGCGTCGTCGTCGTCTTCGTAGGCCTCGTTGCCGTCTCCACTCCCCTCGTTACTGTCTTCTCCTTCCTCCCCCATCTCCCTGTCATCTTCATCATCCTCCTCCTCCTCCTCTTCTTCTTCTTCTTCCTCCCCCTCCTCCTGTTCTTCTTCTTCTTCCTCCTCTTCTTCATCATAGTCCTAAATTGAGCGGTGATTAAATTATTAGTAGCGGGAATCAAAGTCAATAAAAAAAAAAAGATCAATTCTGTGTCTAATGCCACGTTACACACTGCCTTTTAAAAAGTACCTGTTCCTCCTCCTCTTCTTCCTCCTCCTCTTCCTGGTCATCGTCACTCTCTGTGTCTGTTATTATGACGATTACTTCCTGCTGTAGCAGGTGGGGGGCGTCACTTTGGGACAAGGTAAGCTCTTGGTCCATCATGATGGACTGGGTGGCTGCATCACCCTCCTCCAGTACTGGAAACTCCTCCTGGAACAACAAGCACCAGGAGCAACATGCATTCTAGTCACACATACAGTCAGGATTGATGACGTGTAAATTCAGGCGATTGCTTACCTGGCTTGCTTCCGCTCCGTCTTGACTGTCTGTTAGCACCACCCCCTCGGCCTCTGCACTGTCTTCCACCAGCACCTCCTCCTGAGGATAACACATAACACTCAAATGACGGTCAGGACAGAACTAACATACTTTAGATAATCCAAAAAAAAAAACTAATAAGATGCCCGTGTATTTCCCCCCTCACCTCTGGACCAACTCTCTGGATGATACGCAGCTTTTTAGGAATAGGAGCCCTGGAGGTGTCCTCCTGGGTGGACTCTGTGTCAGGAAGCACAGGGGCAATCTCCTCCTCTTCCCGGGGTCTTTTTGACATGGACGAGGTTCCTGGTGTTGCTGAAACTAGAGACATGGCAGGAGACTATTGTTTAAACTTTTCCGTCAGGGTAAAAGGACACTCTTAAAACCTCACAATATCCAAATGGTGGCTTGATCAAAACAAACAGAAAGAAAACGTGTGTGTGGCTCATACTATACTAGTTTCTTACCGGTTCCAAACACGGAGGAGGTGGAGGACGTTGAAGGCCATTCCACCTGCGAGCTAGGTGTCGCCTCAATGACCATGGGTGGCGGCTCCTGATTTGCCGGCTCTGCGTGGGTCATGCTCTGTTGTTGAGTTGGTTGGACAAAAGCGGTGGCCTGCGTCTGGCTCTGCTGCCCCGTCAGCATGGGGCTTGCTAAAGTGGTCTGGACGTTGGGGCTGGCAGAGCGCACCGAGCCGCTGGCACTTCCGTACACAGTCACGTGCTCTACTGGGGGGCCTTCAGTAGACTGCATGGCTGTAGGGGAGTTTTGGTTAGTGAAACACAGATTCAGCTTTTCCTACAAAAACAAAAAGGGAAATCTCAAAATCCTAAATTAAACGTACCTTCCTGGGTCTCCACCTGCGTGGTGGGCATGACGGTGGCCGTGGGTGTTGGGGTGGGCACAGTAGCTGGGGTAATCATGGGCCTGATGCTTGCTCTCGGAGTGGGTTTGTTTCCCGGGTTGACAGGCTGCTTGCTTGCTGAAGCCACAGGTGTTGGCTTAATGTTGGCAGTGGGAGTCTCAGATGTGCTGGCACTGATTGAGACAAAGATCAGGACATGAATAAGGACCCTATTAATGAACATTTAATACAAGACAGGCGGAAACAAGTCACACCAAGCGTGCAAAAGCGAATCCCAAAATGGAGGAAAAGTATGATGCGTTCACTGTACACGAGTGTTGCACCGCATTGTAAACTTATGAACCGATAAGCAGTTTTAGGGGTTGCATATCGTACCTGCCCCGGTCTGCAGCTGGGGTTGTCTTCAGACTGATCTGCCTCTGTTCTGTGCCCCTCTGCTGCTCCTGGGTCTGAAAATCAGGGCGGAAAGACGGTCATGATGGGAACCAAACAAGATCTTGATACTGTAGTTTCATCAAACTTGCAACGTTACTTATAACGTTTTTTTTAGACACCATGAAGTTGCCGTAGTCTGATCATCTAATTACATCTAATACCTTAGAGCAGCGATTCCCAAAGTGTGGACCGCGAAGGTACTGCAGGTGGGCCGCGAGAGGTCATTTACAATAAATAAATAAAAAGTTTTTAATTTTCAATTTTGAAAAGTTTAAAAATTAATATAAAAATATGTATGATGCGGCACATTAGTTATGTGAAACATTAATTGATGAAGCACAAACAATTAAAATGAACAGATTGGTTAATCGGTTGATCCATACTGGTTGTACACGGCGCGCAAGGCGCTCTGCCAAACATGCCAAAGCTCGGTCTACGGCGGCGAGATGCTGAGCGGGCGCTCAAGCGCGTGAGGTATGGAGCTTGTTTCAGGGCGCGTCGGAGAAACAAAGCTGTTGTTCTTGCCGAGCACTTCATGAGATTAAAGAGCGAGAGACGGTGCCCTTTTCTTTACAGTAGCTGAACCATCTTAACGGGGAAATAAGTTATTCTAAAAGGAGCCCTTGGTAGGCGGCGTGGCTGGAGAGGAGCTGAAGATTTAAGTCGTGGATGGCGAGGGCGGCGGCGGAAGCGGACGCACCTTGCAGCATCGATCGGACCCTGAAAGCACCGTCTCCACCAGTGCGGAAATGGGCTTCTATAGTTGTGTGAATGCATCGCTCCAGCCAATCCAAAGACGGGGTATGTAACCATTCAGGTGTAGAGACCATGGTGACTGGCTCCGCCCCCTCACTGTCAGAAAGACAACCGAGCGCGTAGAAAACTCCTTCGAGCGCGAGCAGAGATTCTCCTCGCGAACAACGAAGTTCACGTCTCGCAAGCGAGCAAATACCTCGCTCGAGACGGACTTTTGCTGGCGGATGTTTGATTTACGCGCGCGCATCAACCTGATTTGCACTCTCGAATTTTGACAGTGATTTTGGGTGGGCCGCAAAAGATTTTCAGATTTCAAAGTGGGCCGCGGCATTCTTGAGTTTGGGAACCGCTGCCTTAGAGAGAACATTAATCTCGGGTATGCAGTTGTTCAATACCAGGATGTAAAATCAAACTCACAATGGTTGCACACAAAACAAAAATTAACAGATGATTGTAAAGAGGTTAGTATAAAATATCCACCCCTTTTCAAGAAGAAATGTTGCGAAAAAACAAGACATTAAAAGGAGGTCCTGTTTTTTCTGTTTTAGAAACCAGCAACAATTGATGACAGAAGGCACTCATGAGTAAAACGTTAATCGACATCACGCGTTGTTTGAAGCCCAGCGGTATCGATTCTGCTATTTATTCCACTGCATGTTACCAAGTGTTGGCAGAGGGTAAAATTTAACAAAAATATAAATGTCCAGCTTGGGGAAACTTGAAAATTGACTCTCACCTTACTGGGACCTGCCTCAGGTGGCTCATCTCTCTGCTCTTGCCTCTCCTGCTGACCTCGCAGGTCTCGCAGTTCTCTCTCCTGTCGACTCAGGCGGCCCTCATATTGAGACTTGAGAGCGCTGACTCGAACCTCCAGCTCCTCACGCTGTTGCTTTAGCTCCTCCTGCTGTTGCTTTAGCTCTTCATTTTCCCTTTGCAGCTTGTCTTTGGTGCCTGGACACAAGTAATTTGGTCTTCAATAAATAAAAAAAGGGCAACAACAGGGGCAAATAGAAGAGGACTTTATAAACAACCAATGGTGGCAATATGAGGGACATCTTCTCACTGGTGAGCAGGTTTATCTTCTGCTTGGCATAGACAATGGCCTTCCTGGTCTTGTCCTCTTTGTCAGTCATCTGCTGTCTCAGCGTGTCCTCCTGAGAGACTTTATCCTGTAGCTCCTGCCTTATTCTGTTCAGCTCTGTCTGCAGCCTGGTTGACTGTTCCTGGGCATTACGCCCTTCAGTCTCACGCTCTGCAGCCACCTGTCACAGGCCAGGAAAGACATGATCCCAATCAATATATATATATATATTATATATTATATATATATAATATATATATATATATAATATATAATATATATATATATTATATATATATATATATATATATAATATATATAATATATATAATATATATATATTATATATATATCCATCCATCCATCCATCCATCCATCCATTTTCAAACCGCTTATCCTGCACACAGGGTCGCGGGGGGGCTGGAGTCCATCCCAGCCAACTTCGGGCGATAGACGGGGTACACCCTGGATTGGTCGCCAGCCAATCGCAGGGCTAACACAGAGACATACAACCATTCACACTCACATTCATACACCTACGGGCAATTTAAAGTCCCCAATTAACCTGATCCCCAGAGCATGTCTTTGGACTGTGGGAGGAAGCCGGAGAACCCAGAGAGAACCCACGCAGACACGGGGAGAACATGCAGACTCCACACAGAAAGGCCACTGGGTGGAATCGAACCCAGGACCTTCTTGCTGTGAGGCGACAGTGCTAACCACCACGCCACCGTGTATATATATATATATATATATATATATATATATATATATATATATATATATATATATATATGACAAGCATATTTTTGAGGAGCATTGTACCTTCCTTTTTCAAGAAAATTTAAACAACCAATGATATAACAGCTACACAAGCTATATGATCATGCAAACTGATCAGTGTTCAAGGACTCCCTCCCTAATAGAAGGCTACAAACATTAGTCCCACTCTAAAAATGGAGTTTAGTTAAAAAGGTCTAGGTTGAAACTTGTGGTTTGACCTTGTTGATGTTCTCCAGTTGTCCTTCCAGCTCTCTGGTCTTGGTTTCAGCCTGGTTCAGAGAATCTTTGAGACTCTGCAGCTCCTGAACTGAGGCTTGACGAGCCTCCTCTTCTTGGGATGGCACTGCTGCGGCCTCGGCTACCAACTGAGAACGCGGTATGAAAAATTATTAGTTTGAAGTTGAAGTTGGTACCAGCACAACAGAGGTGGCTTTGGGCAACTGCTTAAAATGCAGCCAACAACACAGGTTTTGTTTATAGATTTTGAATTAAGACGAACGCAGAAAGAGGAGCAGCTGCTGAGCGCTCACCTTGTCATGTTCCACCTTGAGATCATCATACTGAGTTTTGTAACGGCGTCCAATCTTCTTGACCTGAGTGATAGTTTGTACTTTCTCCTGGAGCTCTTGGTTCTTGGTCTCCACTTCCTTCTTCAGCACATTTCTTTCATCATTTATCTTACTCATATTGTCACGCAAGTTCTGTACCTGGCTTTGCAAGGATGTTGTGAGATTATTGGTCCTGTAGACGGCAATAAAGAGTTTGTGAAATTGAAGGTAAAGTGGCAGAAAAAGGACCTGTTGTAAGGGAGGAAACGGAAATATCCTGGTATATAAAAATTCATAGTAACAATTTATAATTCCTCACCTGGCCACCTCTGCTTTAAGTTTGGAGTTCTCCTCAGTGAGCTGCAGTATGCGTTTGAGATGAGCCTCCTTCTCAGAGTGTAGACGCTTGGACTCCTCCGGGTCTGAATCCTTTTGTTGGCTCACCAAATGCTGAAAGGATTTGAGAAAAGGTTGTGCCAGTGGTGCGGAATGTTAAAACATGATGAATAAACAGTCATCACAAGACAATCCACTTTTCTGATGGCAGATGTATTTCTCCACCTTCTTACAAGCAGCCATATTCACTGACCTGGGTCCGAGCTTTCCAGCGCCTGATCTCCTCTTCGAGTATCTTCTTCTCAGCCTGCAGCATGCCGCTCTTCTCGCTCAGCTCGGAGTTGGCCTGCTGCAGTGGCATAATGTCCGACTCCAGCTTTTGTACCTGAAATACACAGACGATGAGCTAAAAACTTCTGGATTTGGCGCGTTACTCAGAAATACATTTATAAAATATCAGGGAAAAAGAATTAAATTCAACAACTAACTTTTAATAAAAAAAACATACCTTATCCTGAGTTTGGTGCAGTTCTTGCTCCATCTTGTCTCGCTCCTCTCGCAGCATCTTGTTGGTCTCCATCAGGATGCTCATTGTTTCGGTCTTCTTCATCAGTTCATCATGCTGAGCCAGGGTCTTCGTTGTCACCTGAGTAGGATTAGCATTAAGCTTTTAGTCGTATGTGGCATCTCTAGGTTGGACTTTTAGGCCGGTTGGACTCATGTCTCGTAGATTTCATTAAGCGAACGGAATGAAACAAAATTCTCAATCTCCCAAATTAAACGGGAGAAAAAGGTAAACAAGTAAGATTTGTCAGTGGACAGGAGACCCTTTTTTCCATTAACACACACACCTGCATCCTCTCTTTTGCAGCACTCAAGCTGTCCTGCGCCTCCTTCAACTCACGCTCCAGATGCTCCACCCTCAAACGGTAACGCAAACTCTCCCCTTGAGCAACCTCAAAACGCGATTCGGAAATCTCCTTCTCTCCGCGTACAAACCTTTGATGGAAAACAAACGAGGGAATCAAACATAATGGTGACCAAGGAAGGACAGTAACAACGGTGAGCAGCAAAATTGCAAAGCTTCTCAACTAAGAGAAAGGATTATGTGATTCGGCATGGACATAAATTACCTGAGAATCTCAAGGATCTGGTCTTGAGATTTGCCCTCTTCAGTCAGAGAGATGTTCAGTGGACTCTCACTGGCAGCATGCTGCAACTTGTCAGCCATCTTGCTGCTTATTGCCTGGATCTGCTCATGCAAAAGCGTGTTCTGCCTCTGGAAATCCTCATAGCGGCTCTCCATCTTTGACATCTCCTCCTTTAATGCAAGCAAAGATGGAACAAATTAAATCGTAATTGCTTATTTATTTTAAATGCCAAGTTGTTAAATACTAAGTCAAAACCATTAATTCTACACATTTAAATCAAATGGCCCTGTATTAAATGCATTTGTTGGGCTCTTTGGGCTCCCAGTTTATATCTAGGTCTGTCTAGTAATCACCTGTACTTCTATCAAATTACCTTGAGGATTTTTTCCTGCTCTCCCCAGGAGACCCTGGCCTCCAGTAGCTCTGCAGAGACTCTCTGGGCTCTCTCATCAAGCTGTTGTCGAAACTCGATGGCCTGAATGGCCTGAGCTTTAGCAGCTTGCAGTGCTTCGACATCTGCCGCATGCAGAATCATCTCCCGCTCATACTTGTCTTGCGCTTCAGCTGCCAGCTTGGCCTAGAAAAAGGTAAAGATTTGACACAATCATTGCATGTTCAAGTAACATCATCCAACTAAGGTGACAAATATGTTGTCATTTAATATAAATTATTTGAGATATAGTAATTCATTGAAATAAGCTTTTCATACTTTTGGTTTGTGACCACTCAGAGGTAAGCAGAGAAGGGAGACTTTAGAATCTTTAGTGGTCCTTAAACAGAGGGTTTTCTAATGTCAGGGATTATCCTGAACTTCAATTAGCAGATAACAATAAAAACATGAGAACTTTGAACTTTCACCAAAAAATAAACTGTAGACAGTACATTTACACTTTACTATTTTAGCTGGGCCGCTTGTTTTGAATCCCAGGTACCTCTAGTTAATGTTGAGTAAGGGTAAGCTATCATCCTTCTACATATAATTAGCTCACAGATTCTTACCTGCTCCTGGCTGTCTTGTAGAGCTTGCTGCTGCTGGGCTTCAGCTACAATCACGCGCTCGAGCACAGCCTGGTGATCTGCCTGAGTGCTGCTCAGACTTCCTCTCAGACTGTTTATCTATGACAAACAACAAAGAGAAAGTTCGTTACTTGTATAAAACTGAATGGCAATATAGTGGTCAGACAATTGGGAGGTAGAAAAACTACAATTTCTTGAAGAGAATATATTATACCTGCTCTTCCAATGATGCCAGGGCTCTCCTCTTCTGCTCCTCTGAATTATGTTTTTCCTTCTCTGCTTCCAGAAGCTTTTCCTCCAGCCTGTGGTGCTCCTGCTCAGCCTCCTTCATACGAACTTCAATGGATGAGCGTGCCTGCTCTGTTACCTGGTCATTATGCAAAACAATAATGAATGACTTCATACAACCATCATCTTTAACAAAATGTCCCAATGTCTGTTTGACATGAGTTTTATTTTCCAAATAAAAATGTGCTCATTTTCAAACAAATGGCCATGTAATTTGTTTAATAGGCAAAAGGCATGATGATAGAATCTATCAAACTGGTGAATGGATGGTAAAGATACACAGGAAAGTTATATCCTGCAATAAAACGTAATGTCAATAGGTTTCCGCCCATGTAAGCAGTTGTTGCTTTGAAACTATATTTTTTTTAGCGAATATTTAATTACGTGAGCATTGTAAATGATTTTATGAGGCTGTTTTGGTTCAATTTGCACCTGTTTCTCTTTGTTAAGGGACTCTTCCAGGCTCTGAGCCATGGTTCTGTACTGCTCAATGCTGGAGGTGGCTACACGGAGGCTCTCTGCAAGCTCCTCCGCCCGGTATTCGGCCGCCCGCAGTCGGCCCTGTAAGTCCTCTCTGTCTTGATTCGAACCCGGCAGACCTAAAAGGAGAAATCAGTGGCACGAAGGAGAGAAGAAAATTTCAAAACAGTACAATTAGAATGCACTTCTAGGAAGGGCGTGTGGCTTGGGAATAATTGCGTTGTTAAAACCCCAAAACATTTGAAAGTCTGTGGCTCAGACATTTCATTATGTCTAAAAACATGTTTCTTTTATTGCCTCCTGTCTGTTAAAAAAAAAACAAGCTAGTACAGCATTTTAGCGTATGAGTTGTTTTTCAAAAGTAAGGCATGGTATAAAACTAGGTCACTTGACTACAAAAATAAATCAAACCCTTTTTATGTCCCTGATTAACTTTAAAAAAAAAAAAAAAAAAAAAATTTGACTTTCGATGACGCCTGCCTAAGAATTGTGGAACTGGCGGAAAAGCTATACGTTTAGATGTGTACGCGATCCCTCTGTGTGTTGGTCTGTTGTAATCTATCTGCCGGTAAGTGAGTTCATGCCAACCTCTGATTATTGGCGTGGTGGGGGAGCTCAGAGCGTGACGCGCTTCACCGCTGCCCAACTGCAGCTTGAGGGTGTTGAGCTCGAGCTCGGCAGCATTCAGCAGCTCCTTGGTCGTCTGGTGTATCAGCCCCTGTTTCTCCAGCAACTGACATTGAGAGGTAAGCAAACGGTTCAATTTCGTTATTTCTTTGACGGGGTGAAAATGAATTTGTTTCATTCTGGACTGGTGTTCAAAATTTAACTGGGCCTTGAGTTTAAACTGTAAAAATGTATCTGACATGATCTTTTACACTTGAAAATAGATGGGCATTCCCTGTTATTCTTACTTCCTGGTTTCTGACGAGCAGGTGGCGCTGTTCCACCTCGTGCTCCAGCCTCTTCTGCAGCTGAGAGATCTCTCGTTCCTGCTTCTCCAACTGGCCATTGAGACGCTTATGTGTCTCAGTCTCTGAACGCTTAAGAGTGTCCTAGAAAAAACACAGCAGTTATCATTTTTGAACGGTGTGTGTATGTACGATCTTATGAGTGACTAATGTTGTAATTCTAGATTACCTGAATAGCTTGGAGGTTGGTCAGCAGCAGATTCTGGCTCTGTTGTTGGCTGAGGATCGACTCCTTTTCCAGGTTCAGCTGGGACTCCACCAGCTTGAGCGTTTCTCTTTCCTTGCGTAGACTCTCAGTCTGGCCCTAAGTGCAAGATGATGAACAAATCCCGATACTGCCACTGCCATTCCTCCATCATGATGATCAAGAAAATTAGAAAGTTTGCCGGAACGAAGACAAACCTCAGCCATGGCGAGTTTCTCTTTGGCAGCCTTCAGATCCTCATTCAACGTGTGGATGGTCTGCTCATGCTTCTGTGTGGCAGTGGACATCTTTTGTCCTTTTTCTCGGAGGGAAGCAATCTCTGTCCTGTAGCGCTCAACATTGTCTTGAAGCATCTCATACCTGATGAAGTTGACATTCTTTTTAGTGGCTTATGTTCTCTCCTAAACATTTTTCAACACATTAAGTGTTCAGTTAAGCAGAAGGTTTATCAAACAAACTTACCTTTTAGAGGCAAACTCTAGCTGGGTGGATATCTTTGCATTCTGGGAGTGGAGGTCAGAGAGCTGCTCCTGGAGCTTCTCGTTTTGCTCCGTCATGACCTTGCTACCCTCCATGCGCTCCTTCTTATAGGCGGAAAATACCTCCTGCAACTGCAGGTGCAAGCATATATTTTTTTTAGTTATTGTTGTGTGAGAAATACCATTTTCATCCCCGCTTTAGTGAAAACTAGATCTGCAACTTTAAACTATACACATCACTGATGAACCACTGACATTATCTGATGACCTTTCAATAAAAGTAATACCAAATAAAATTAATTTGGTTTAGTTTCATTCTTGCCCGCTTGGCACGGCTTTTTCTTCCCTTGAGCTCTTAACTTCATTCTCCTCCATCATTTGCAAAAAAAGGTTAAATTATTTGGGGCATCATTTAAGTACGTAGTAGTATGTATTAAGTAGTATGTTTATCTTTCATACAGCCACATTGCCATCTAGTGTCAGACACTGGAAACTAGTGAGCAAATGTCATCAGTGAAGTGGGTGGTTGCAGTGAGAACCATATCCATAAATACGGATCGACAGATGGCCCGCCATGCTCAGTAATAAACAAAAATCAGAATAATTCGCGTAACTAAATGTGAGCTATTCCCCTGGATCTTGGTTGAAGTAAACTACACCGTAAACAGACATGTTTGAGCGTGGCTGAGATTGACTTGCATATGTCTTATTTCAATGTTTTCTCACCTGGCGCAAAGCTGCCTTGGCCTCCAAGGCTTCAGCAGACTCGGTCGTCATGGAGACAAGTGCAGTGGGAGTTCCTGTGTTGGGTTTGGCTGCAGGTGAGCGTCGGGGGGTGGAGGTTAGAGAGAACTCCTCGGGTAATGCACCTTAACGAAAAAAACAACCATTCAAAAAGCCAAATAAAAACAGTTCCTCTAACACCGTATCAAGCTTTTACCATTTGACTTAAAGTGTCATTTGAAATAGCTTGATGCCCTAATTGAAGCATTTAAATGCATTCATAGGACTGGGCAGTATGCCCAAGAATGCATATCTTTTTCTAAGATTCTGACGGTTTCCATGTATATCACGGTCACACATTCATTCATTGACTCAAAAAGGGGCCGCCGACCACCTGAACCTGTTCACCGGTATCTGCCCAACTTGCCCCGACCAACTGGTCGGTGAGTTACCGTGTTAGCTATTGTGGGTGCTAGTGTTTCCCCTAGAGGCAATACCAGCAGCTCGACCATCAGTTGTTACAACGGCATGATGGTACGAGAAAAAACTCATACCGCAAGGAAATCTGATACCGTTGAACAGAGGATGCCACGTCTTGTGTTAACAGATCATAAATTGGTTCATCTCTTGTTGTTTACCCTGCTGAGGGAAGCTGACTCCTGTTGCCTGAGCCAGCAGCATGCGGTACATGTCCCTCTGCCTCACAATGGACTCAGTCATCTTGACCTGCTGGCTGCGCTGCTCCTTCAGGGACTCCAGCTCAAGGTGGGCTTTGTCAAAACTCTGCTCCAGTTCACCACGTCTGTAACAGATAATCTTGCTTATATGTAGCCCAGTTTGACACATCTATGACATGATTTAGCTGGTTTTATGCTCTTGTTCTTCAGCATTCCTCTCCCCCAGTTTTAAGACAAAACTCAGATTTTGTACAGCCTGACAACTCAAACAGCGGATTCCAGTTCCATTTGTTTACTTCAAGTACGAAAAAAAGGCAAACAAAAACAAGCACACATTTGAACATACTTGTTGCCAGCGGCCTCAAGCTCCTCTTTCTCCTGAGCATCACTGAGTTCCCTGAGGGCCACCAGAAGACGCTGGTTCTGCTTCTGAAGCTCCTCTACACCACGGAAGGTCACCAAGTGTTTGCTGATCACCTCTGATGTGCTGCTGATGTCGGCTGAGCTCACCTCCTCCTCATGCATTACATGGTTTCCACGAGCCTCTTCCAGCTCGATGAGCAGCACACGCACCTGACAGGGAAGATCAAGGACAGCATAGAAAATAAGAACTAGGAGAAATTGGATGACGTAAAACTGTATGAAAATAACTAAATTGATCCTTTCAACTGGATGAGTACTCACCTGTTGAGCCATGTCTCCAAGCTGAAGTTCACACCTCTGGTTGCCCCTTTCCAGAACAGAGGAGCGCTTGTTAGCTTCATCAGCTTCCTTCTGCAGACGATGCACCTCCTTAAGAAGAAAAAAAAGCATTAAAATGTGTCAAGTTTCCCACTAATCAAATTATTTTGCCTCCTGTATCCATTTCTGTCATTGCATGGTGCATTCATTAATTGATTCAGTGTGCGACCAATAAAACCAAATGTAACCTAATGGAAAATCCCATTCCACTAAACAATGTATGTACAACCCACCTTAACAGCCTGCTCCAGCTTGGCAGAAAGACTGGCCACTGACTTCTGCATGCGCTCGTGTTCGTCCCTCTGTCGTTTGAGGATTGGGGCTTTTGCTTCCACTTCTTGCACAATATCATCCAGGTACTTGTTGACTCGCTTATTCTCCAATCTCTCCATCTGCAGCTGCTCCTGGGTATCCACATATGCGGTGTACAGCTGCAAATGCAGAGGATATCAAATATCAAGATGAGATGGTTAAAAGGGGGAGATTAGCAGGAGACTTCTGTGCTCACTGAGAAATTGGCAAAGGCAAGATGTTTAAATGAATATAGTTTTTAATAGTGCATAGCATCAAGTAATATTGGAAATCTACAGTGGCGGTCTATTGTACCTTATCCCTAAACCTTATCTTCCACAAGGCATTTCCAGAGAACCATTTTCAAATTATAATAAGGTTTATAATAAGACTCATTTTGATGTCCACATTCAGTTGCACGCACCTCTGTCAACTTCATGTTGGGCTTTATTTTGGATACAGCGGCAGCTGTTGGGGACATAGTCGTCATTTGCTCTTCTGCGATCACAGATGTCGTACCAATCGGACCTGAATATTCAAAACGTAGTTGAGAGATCACAGTCATTTATAAAAATAAAAAAAAGATCTACCAGACTCAACCAAACACACCTCTAAGTTTAGAACTTGATAGCAGCTCATTAGCATTTTCCAACTCTTTCTCAAGGCTCTGGATCCTTTCTTTTAGCTCAGCCACACTCTTGTCTGTGGCACCATTCATCTCCTGCAACTTCTCTTCAAAGGCCTTGTTGGCTGTGGCGTAAAGAGTAAACAGAGGAAGCGTCAGGAAAAGCCAACAGGTGACTCAAGGATGAGTTATGCCACTAGGCTACAAACTATGTCCTTCTCTAGAGAAGTCAGGTAAGAAAAGTAATGAAAATGGTAGAATTGGTCGCTTCATCATAGCCTCGCACCTTCTCCAGCATCTTTCAGCAACTTATGCAGCTCCTCCACTGCCCGACTCAGCTCTTCACTTTTTGCCTCAGAATCTGCCGATGCTCCCTGCAAATCACAACAAGGTCAGGCAAAAATAATGACAACTATGACGTACAGTGAATTATTTCAGTTACTGTAAATATAAGTGCACTAATAAATCCATAAAGAAACACAATGCACAATTTGTTTTGTATTCAAGACAAACTAGATTTCACAATTCAACGAAAAGTTTCAACGAAATAAGTTGAACATTTGAGTTGCATTGTAATATTCAGAAAAGGCGACAATCCATGGAAAGAATCACTGGGATTAAATGCTTTGGCGGTACGCAGTAGAGCAGCCCCGTCAGCTTGTCGCCCGTCATACAAACCTTGTATAGATTGCAAAGCTTAATGTTGGCATTCAGCTCGTTTCTGAACTTTTCCTCCATCGTGGCTTGTTGTTCCTTGGCCTGGAATTAAGAAAGATGGGTTTTGCACTTTCATAATCAAACTTCACAAACACATCAGTGCTACAATACTGATTAAATGTTGGAGAATATAATTACCATATTTTCCGCACTATAAGGCGCACCTTCAATGAATGACCTATTTCAGAACCACTTTTTCATATATTGGGGCGCACCGGGATATAAGGGCGCATAAAGATACTGGCAGTCAAATGTTTGACGTCGGGGCGGGTGGATGGGGGGGGGGGGGATGTGGAGACGGTGCTTTCAGGGTCCGATCGATGCTGCGAGGTGCGTCCGCTCCCACCGCCCCCCTCGCCATCCACGCCTTAAATCTTCGGCTGCTCTCCAGCCACGCCGCCTGCCAAGGGTCCCTTTTAGAATAACTTATTTACCCCGTTAAGATGGTTCAGCTACTGTAAAGGAAAGGGCACCGTCTCTCGCTCTTTAATCTCATGAAGTGCTCGGCAAGAATGACAGCTTTGTTTCTCCGACGCAACCTGAAACAAGCTCCTTATCTCACGCGCTTGAGCGCCGCTCAGCATCTCGACGTCGTAGACCGAGCTTTGGCATGTTTGGCAGAGCGCCTTGAGCGCCGTGTAAAACCAGTATGGATCAACCAATTAACCAATTGATCCATATATATGGCGCTCTGGATTATAAGGCGCAATGTCGTTTTTTGAGAAAATTAAAAGGCTTATAAGTGCGCCTTACAGTGCGGAATATACGGTAAGTATAATAAGATTGGAAGGATAAACCACAAACATACTTCTTTCAGTTTGCTGATCATGTCCTCATTCTGCTTCTGATGACGCTCATTTGATGTCTTCAAACTGGCCACTTGCTCTTGGAGTCGGTTCAACTAAAAGTTAAAAAAAACACTTTTTATTATAGGTATACAACCGTTGGTCGGTGCATCACACACAGCGCTACTTATATGGAAATAAAAACAGACATACCTCATCTTCCTTGTTCTCGAGGTTGCATTTTAGTTCCAGTATCTCGTTTCCCTTCTGTCGGGACAGCGACAGCAGTTCTTCACTCTTAGCCTTCAATTCCTCCTTCAGCCAAGATGTTTGACCATTCAGCAGCTCTTTCTCTTGGTTCATACGTTTCTCCTTGTACTGTAATGGAAAATCCATCAAAACTGCATTCAGTTGGATGTTTAAGGGTAAAACAAAGAATAAACATTTGCAGTGGAGTTAAGATAAACGCTGTGTGGAAAGTCAATAAGAACAAATCTGCTATAAAAATAATATTAAAATCAATGCACAATAAAGCTCACTTTAATGTTGACTTCAGCCGATTCAAGTTCATCCAACTTCATCTGCAGGGCCATCTTAGAGGTGTTAACCTCCACCAACTTGTCATTGAGTTGCCTGAAGTCATCTGGGGAAGCGACAGAAATAACACACGTGCCGTGTCCGGTTTATGGTTAGCATGCACTAATTGAAAAATAAATAAATAAATAAATAGTCTCCAGAATGATTCATCAGTCCAAACCATTTAAATGCTCCACTTCCAAAGATCTTTTCTCCAGTGTTCGAACAAGTTCTCGCTTTTCTGCCTCCAGTTCCTCTTTAGCCTTTGCCAGCAGTGTCTTAAAAAAGAAAGCATTATTTGATGAGTGATTGGTGCTATTGCTTACAACTTGCAGTTTATATGTAGACATTCGGTGACACCAACATAACCCTTGGATGAACTATCTCGTCAATTAAAAATGTCGTCCATTCTCAAACTCATGAACATATTATGCCATATCCAAAATATCGTCTTCAGCGTGTACGTCCATAATAAAGTCAAAACCAGACATGGCAATGAATTATACCTCTTGCCAACCACTGACGTGCATCTTATGATGCTTTTACTTTCCTAAAAAGCCAACAATATACAAGGCGACTGAGGCTCCGTGGAACAGTGGGTCGTCCTTCCTCTCCGGGGTGTGTGAACGTTAGATCATAGTTCCTGCCATGAGTGTCTGAATAACAAAGTGTTTTGAGTGGTCGGCAGACTAGAGAGGCACAAGTCCATATACCGTTAAAATAGTTTTAACCCATAATGTCGGCACGCTTAACATTTGGGATAAAGAGAAAAGCTGCGCTAAATTTGGGGAATAAATTGACTGAATCGCGTTTAGACAGCGATTACTGTGACTTTGGCAAAGGCACTACTTCATCACGACATTTGATATAGTTCTAGTTAACTGTTACATAATACGTTACACACAGAATATAACCAAACAGTAATATGGCCGACTTGATTTACTCTCTCACCTGCTCAGATGACAGCCTCGCTTGTGCGGATTCATATTCTCCATTCTCCTCACGCACACGTTTGAGATCCTCCTCTATTTAAATATTTAAAGTAGAGCAAACTATAAAGTTATGCAATCCAGATAAAAATAAATCATGTAAACCTGTACATAATACTGCATTAGGTTCAGTCTTACCTTGTTTTCTGAACTCCTCTTTGAGATTAAAATGCTCTTGGGTCTGCGACAAAAAGTCCTCTTGACACTGAGCAAGTTGGTTTTTTTTTTCAAAGAATTGTTGTTCTGTCAGAAGAGGGGCAACAAACACACAACACGAAACGTTTTATTCATGACTATATACAATAAGTTGTAGATTTGTTTATCTACAGTTCAATGCCTTCATGTTGAAGTTTAACGTTACCGTTAGCTCGATATGTTAGCCAACCCTAGCATTAGCGTCAAGTTGTGCTCAGTCAGAAGTGATAGCTCGCTCTAGCTTTCGTCCAATATCCCATAGCCATTGATAGACATGTTACACAAATGTGAGCTTACTCTGCCAGTAACCTCATAGTATTAATGTTATTCACTTTTAGCTAACGCTCCTTTAGTCGGCATGCGTGCAAGATGTCGAGGAAAGCAAAACATGTAGCTCTTAGCATCGATAGCTGTTGTAATATGAGGCAATATCTTACCGCTGTCAACCCGATGTCGTTCCTGTTGGGCTTTTAGACAATCGATATTATATTGCTGGTCCGAAATGATCTTTTCAAGCTTAGCTATCTCTGAACCTTCCAACTCTTGCAGGGGCAGTGCCGCCATTTTTCCGACAACACTACGGCGGATGCGCAGTTCAAAATATGGGTTCGTTGATGCTCGTGGAGCATCATGGGAATTGTATTTCTTAGAAACAATCTTATCAAAGAAATACCTGTATATTGCATTACATATTCAAATGAAGCTAATTTCAATCATATAGCATAAGGGTCAACTTAATCTTCCTGCCGACTTTTATCCTATTTATAACATAATCATGTTATTATCTCAGTTTACTCAATTTTCATTGTGGAAACCGACAAATACAACTATGGGTACACTTCTTTTCTAATTTGACAGAAAACCAGTAAGTTTAATTTTATGTAATACTTTGTTTTATAGTTTTGTTGAGGAATCTACTTCTGATCAATACATTTCTTTCTACTGACCAGTTTACAGGAAAGACTTGCACTCCGACGTTTACATGATAACTTAAAAGTTAAAAAGCAATGTGGATTTTCCAGATGTTGACCTCCGATGTAGACTGGTGTAATACTCATTCAAAGATGGTCAGCAGATGGAGCCAGCACATACTAAAAGATGTGAAGACCCACAGTGTGCGCGGCGTGTGTGCCCTTTAGAAGCAGAATGTATTTCAGCAAAGGATATTGGGATCCTGGGAAGTCCAGAGTTGACCAAACAGATTGAACTCTGATATATTCCAGGTACACTAACCTTAGGTTAAAAAAAAAACATACAACAAAACAGCACAAAGCACAGAAGCATCTATTGAGAAGGTCAGGAGTCAGGCCTTTTGTGGATGTGATACTAGAAACCGTGCAGTTCCATAAGTCTTTGACAACTTAGAAGTCAGTACTCTTTTGAGGGGCTTAATTATGTTAAGTAGAGTTTTTGTTCCCCATTATAAAACATCCTACATTTATTTTTATACAGTTCTGATATTTCCTTTGTCAAAAATGTATTTATTTATTATTATTATTATTTATTTATTTCAATAAATAACAGGATCATATGTCACATATCTCACAGTTTCAGTTTAAGTAATTTCTTAACTGTGTCCCTATGTAGTGATATAAACCCAATAGGTATTTAGACCCTGTCTGGACTTGTTTTGACAAATACCTCAGCGGTTTATTGGTTCATAACCAAGGTGATGCTTCTATTCAAAAAAATAGTGATGGCACGGACATATGAAGTGTTAAGCAGTTAGGCCGGCAATTGCTCCAGGCAGCGGCACTATTTTATTATAGTTCACTGTCACGCCTGGTTACCAAGGTGTAGAGAAACCTATAGAAACATTCCTGTGCAAAACCTCTTTATCTGACTCAGCCACGTTGGTTGTTGTCTGCACTTGTTATAAGAATGGAACTCAAAACCCTGACACACAAATACACCCTGCAATTGATGAAGTTTGTAGGAGTTTAGGTATGATTCATGCTGAAAAGTTTTTTACGACATTGGCAAACAGATGAAGAAGTGACCTGCATTTATCTGCCCATTCATTTGAACTATGACTGAAGTCAACCTAGCGTGAGAAACACCAGTAAGACTAACCCAAAGGTGGACTGTGATGTGAGACTGTGCACTGTGAGTTATTTTCTGCAGCGGTTTCTGCTGTTTCTCATCCTCATACCTCTGATTCTTATCTCTACCAACCTCCCTCATGTTAAATTTAACCGTTTGCTCACTCCACCTTTGTTTAACTAATAGCATGCTAGCATTTTGTGTTGAATTGTATCCAGCCGTTTCACTCATTTGAAAAGTAGTTTTTTGTTTTTAGTAGTTTTTTTGTTTTTCAGTTAAGTTTAATCATATGACCAGTGAATTAGTCAAAGGGTAACATTCGCATTCATCATTGAAAATAGTGTGTCACAAGGAAAGTACAAATATCAACAAAACAAAAAAAGAAACCGTTTACATTTCTAGTCTCATCTAGTAAACACGATAGTGGTTGTGTCATCTCACTCACATCCGTTTCCATGTTTGGTCACAGGGGCCATGTGTGCCTCAATCCACGTCTCCACTACAGTGACATCACCTCGGTTAAAGTGTTTCTATTTGGGAGAAGTAGAGCGTGGCAGCTGGGTTTTCCAAGAGTCTAAACTAAATCATACAAGTTCCCAATTAGCGAAGCAGCGTAAACAAAGGGTGAATGAAAATGTCAGATGTGGGAGTGGGATCAGGTGGCGTTGCTTCCGTTTAACATTACGGTAAACATTTGTGTGAAGGGAGCAGTGAGTCAAGTCGTTGCACCGTGTTTGTTTCCCCCAAGAAGTAAGTTCCCCGAGGTAACTGGGTAAAACCATAACAAACCCTAAAACCTAAAACATTCTGTAATTTTACTGTAATTGTCATGCAGATAAAACAGTAAAAGTTTACACATGAGTCATCTTGTTTTGAAGTAGCGCTGGTCTCAACCCTTAGTTGGATTCTCAATAGCTTTTCCTGCTCTCACTGATCTCTAAACCCTCGTTGGAAGAATGTCACACATACTGTATAGAATTCAGCCCGCTCAGAGGAGTATAATAGCTGGTGTGAACATTGTGGGCCTGTGAGGGCACACATGCGGCGTCAGAATGGAAATGTTTTGGTGGTTGGCTGCCGCCAAGGTCAGCTGTTGTTACAGCATGTTTGGGCATTTCAGGCAACCTTACACTCCTCAGAAAGCTCTTGTGGGAGGTATCCAAAAGGTTTTGATCAATCTTAGACACGCTACCTGTGAAGTAATGAGATATTATCAGCCACAGGCTGTGCAAACCGAGCCAGATGTGGTACCGTGTACACAGACATTTGTAGTAGAGTATATCCTCAAAGAAATGTCTGTTAGCGTGTCACAGTTCCCTTAGTGTTGCATTTTGAGTAATTAGAAATCAGGGGCTCTTTTGAAGACGATATGTACAAAATAAATATTAGTATAAAACCACCTAAAATACACCTTGAAATGTGCTGTGAGGTGCTTTGGAGAGGAAGAAATCTTGCCATAGTGTATAGCTTCATATCCATTCATTTACGGTAGGACTGAGAAAACTGAAACCCTTTTTTTGGACTCTATTCCTGTAAAGTATCATCCAATCACACTCTTGGATCAGAATCAGAATCTGAAGCCATTTATTGGCACGTATGTTACACATGCAGGAATTGCTGGATGTGAGTGTGAATGTTTGTTTGTCTCTGCGCTCACACAGAGACAAACAAACATTCACACTCACGGGGCGATTTAGAGTCATCAATCAACCTGATCCCCAGAGCATGTCTTTGGACTGTGGAAGGAAGCCGGAGTACCCGGAGAGAACGCGAAGAGAAGCCACGCAGACACGGGGAGAACATGTCGACTACACACAGAAAGGCCCTGAGTCAAACCCGGGACCTTCTCGCTGTAGGGCAAAGGAAACGTGTTCTTTCTCGTTGAAAGGCGAGAAGGTCCCCGTATCAAAGAAAGTGCTAATAAGCACACCGCCGTGCCAAACCTGAAATAAGTTTTGGTAATTTTATTTATGTGTTGTATCAAATATCACACATTTGCCAGAAGGGGCTTATTTCCTTTCCTACCAAGAGTCAGATGTCAGAATTGATTGATGCGTAAGGTACTGTCAGATAATCTTAAATTAGGACAGAGACTATGAATAGGGACAGAGCAACCCTTCCTAAGCCCATAATTAAAATAAGAACACCTGTCTGCAACTTCAATGTTTTTTATGTAATGTGTTATATCTTGTTTTTTCAGGACACAGCTACTTTTTCGATTTCTAAGCATCTTTTTGTCACTCAGAGATCCATCCAGCCAGCAGACCTTCTATCATAATGGAATAAAATGCAAAACGTTTTTATCAAATTTTATTTTTTATTCAAATGTATAGTCGGCTCGGCCTTAACATAATCAAGTACACTGTTTAAAATAGTAAAGACAACCCAAGACAAAATCAAATATGACAAAAGTGCTATTGACCGCCATGCCGAGTTATATTACACAAGAAAACATCATGGTGAAGACTCATGGTTTCCTTTTAAGTGTACTTTGATCACTTTCTCCACAAAACACACATAAAACAGACATGGAAAACTCCTCACTGATCATAGTAATAAACTAGAGACTCATGGATGTTTTTTGCAGGTGCGTCAGATGGAACACAAGCGTTTCCACATCCAGAGTGCTTTGGCCTCTTAATCCTTAAGGGGTCCTGTCCTGTTTAGCCTTTGTAGCTTGTTATCTATAAATTTAGCAAAAAAACGTCGCAGAGAACAGAAGTATATTCTTGTTGAAATATTGTTTTACATTTGACGACGTCACTTTGTAAAACCCTGGATTTATAAATAGCTTGTTTACAGATCAACCAAAGAAATGCTACAAAAAATGGGTTTACATTAAGTACAGGTACATACGCATGTAATATTCTTATCTATCATTACAAAATAAGACATTGCAATTATATTATATTACAGGTAACTGTTTTGGGCTTTTACTTGGGTGGTTATGAGGAAAATATGATTTTCACACATGCAAACCCCATGTCCTGTAACCCACACTCTTATTTGCGAGCACTTGTAGCAAGGTTTCTGCCCCAACTGCGTGTAAGATTTATCATTTAGAGAACAATTCTCAAACTAGCTAGTGGAGCTAGTGGAGATGTTATGATATTTTTATTTTTGTCTTATGTAATATTGTCTTTTATTGCCCTCTGTCCAACCAATCCAAAACAGCTTCATGTCTTCCTCAGCAGCCAAACTGTTTACTCTACATCGTTTTCTTCTTCATCTTCCATACCAGGCAACTCTTTTTCTGGAAGCAGGCCATAGCTGTTGAGGAAGGCCTCCACATCAGTGGCAAAGAACTCCTCAGTTAGGTGCTGTGTGCAGGCCAGGAAGTTCCCTAGTAGTTCTCCAGCCTTGTAGACCAGAAGCGTAGGCAGCACCTCATCTGAGAACCGCTCGCTTGCCCCTGATGCGACAGCATCAATCCTGCAGAACTTTACAGTGGGGTACTCAATGGCCAGGCAATCCAGGCAGCTGTTGAGCTCTTCACAACCTTTAACCCCGACCTTGTAGATGTGGACAACCACCACTGTGCTGTAATGCTCTTTCTCGATGACTTCTAGGAAGGCCTCACCACTGTCCAGCTCATGCACACCTTCAAACCTGGGCCCAAAGCTGAGTTTATCATGCATGTCCTGCATGCATCGTTTTCTGTATTTCTTTAAACACCCCTCATCCTCCTCCTTAAGCAGCTCATATTCTGGGACACTCATCTGAAAAATGATATCAAAGGAAAAGTTAGGATCAGGCACCAAGCCCTGAGAAAGAGCGGCGGGTTTTTAAGTAAGTAGTAACAACAGTTTTAGGTTTGATCGTGTGACGCTATGGGGCCTCAAAACAGTTGTACCGTTGACTTATACTGGAAAAGAAAGTCCACCAACTCTGCCCTGTTTGGTTGTATACCTTGCGGTTAATGTTTGCTCTGGCATCATCTTTTGGTCTACTCGGGGAGGACATTTGTCTCAGCAGTTCCCTTTTGGCAGCTGGCAAAGATTCCTGGTCCATACTTTCCAACTTAAACCTTCTCCAATCATTGATGACTCCTTTTGGACCTATGTAGAAGGCAAATTGTGTTTTATTAAAAGGTAGTGACAAGTTTTTCACGTAATCCGACTGTAGCAGACCACATAAAGGCTAAAAAATATTTTTGGTTACAGACACAATTTATTCTTAGTCAAGAGCAACTTGGGTTTTGTTAAGCAGCATTCATAAATTTTACTCTCACGGTCCAAATAATCCATTTATTTTGGTGTTTATGCTATATGACTGTTAAATTAAAAAATGTAAAATGAAAACGTAAGTCTGTTTTAAATTGTCAATTTAAATCTCATATCAACCCTCTAAGTGTACTAATTGCACCTTGTTGCGTAACAAAAAGACGATAAGAGGGCCAGTTAAAATGTCAAAGCTCTAAAATTGGTACATTGCTTTGCTTCCTCTTGGGCATTTAGAGCCAATTTCTTTGAAATCTATATTTCCGCGTTTCTGTTTATAATTTATTTGAAAAATTCTTAATAACTCACAACACAAATGTACCGAATGAATGAATCAAAAACGAATGAATGAATTAAAAATACAAACGCACAAGAAAAAAGACACGTCATGTAAATATAAAGTTACTGTGTTTTATTTTGAAACATTCTACTCACCTGTCTGGGTCGGGGTCTCCGGCAAATCACTCATGTTGTCAGACATGTTTTCTTTTTTGCAGCCTATAAGATAAAACCTTGAAAATCAGATTCAAATGGTTAAAGAAGGTAATTAATATGATGTGTTCATGATGCAAACTTTCATTGGTGTAGCCTAACATTACAAATACAACACACGGACAATACAACACATGCTATCCATGGACCTTCGCATTGTAAAAGAAAAAATCCCTATAAAAAAAAGAATATCAATACAGACTGAAAATCCTTTTACCGTGACAGTGCTACTGTATACCAAGTGAGTCTTATTAAGCACTAAGAGGATTATTGAGCTACAACAGATCTCTCTCTCTCTTGCTTGCTGATGGAACCGGCCCACTGCTTTGAAATGTCTGTGGTGTCCGTTTGTGGAACAGTTTGTGACGTACGCAGAGCCACAATGTCATTGGATTACATGGCGTTTCAAATTAGTCTTCCTTCCTACGTGCAGTCACAGTGCTGATCTGAGCTGATGATCTTCTTCTTCTCTCTAACTCCCAAATCCAAATGGATGAATTAGAGATTTGCTGTGATTATTTCTAGCGTGAGCAAAATAAGTCACATTTGACACAGTGTTTCAGTGTGTGTGTGTGTTTGTGTGTGTGTGAGCAACAGATAGACAATAAACTCTTGTAAACAGCTGACTTTCAATTAGACACAGACCCATGACTAAATTCACTTCCAGAAGAAATACTATTTTGCTCTCATTCAATGCAGAAGCAAACAGTTTAAAACAAGAAATAAGCAAAAATATCCACATCTATACAATACCAGACGATATAACGAAATGCAAATTGAATATTATAGACATGAAGCTGATGGCACTCAAAACCGGTCTGAAATGTATGTAAAAAACATACAAACAAATGTATCTCCCATTTCATCCGTGCAAAATAATTTCCCTTATTGTACATATTTCAAACCCAAGTCGATTTGATTATCTTCCCAAAATAAAAGATATGAATAGAGTTTTTCTTACCAGTAACAGTGAAAGCCTCCCTTTGTGTCAGTAGTTAGATTGCACTGGTCTAAACTCGAGCACGTCGCTGAGCTATTTGTTCCTGGATGGTGTGTGATTTTGTGTGCATGCGTGTTTTGTTTCCAGCCAATGAGCTTGGTCTAATGGGGATTTAAAAAAGACCCTATAGAGCAAACAGAAATAGAGCATAGATCCTAAGAGGATTTCACTTCAGGAATTAGAAGCCTTTACCAGATGAAGAGTGAGGGCAAGAGAAAGAAAGTAAGCACAATAAATGATTCTTTCCAAAAAATAAGCTGAGAAATCACATCATCAATATTTAGGCAGTCAATAATCTTATGTGCAACCCTAATCAAGAGCAGAACACCACGTATATTGTGCTACATTTCATTATTGTGAACAGCATAGTAAGGGTTTAACGAAAACAAGTGCATATATCTTTGAGAAACTCAAATTAAGTGATCCTGTCTGGAAGTTCTTATGGGCATAGAGTTTGCATGAAAATGAACACATGATTGACACCTTTAAAAGGTTCAACACTGCTAGCTACGGGGAGGAGGTATCTTGTGATGCTTTATCATGTGCCTCTTGATTATGTTCCACACAGAGTTCCTCTGTCGTCCACCTTCATTATTAAACTATTCCTTTCCTTTGGTATTTATATACAGAAACATGTTGTTGTCATGATAAAATAATACATTCCACCAAGACTGGTAAAATAAGTTATGGTTGAAATCAGATTGATCTGATTTAGATATTAAGTAAACTGAACTTTAGTACAGTTGAAAGTTCTGCATTCAAATTATTACAATCGCAGTACAGAAGTTGCAAAATGTGCTAAAAGTATCAAAGGTAAGTACTAACAACACAAAATTGCCAGAGTGACACATCATTACATTGATGAATATATTGCAGTAGTATTGCTCAAATGTAAGCAGTAGTTTGATGTTAAAATGTAGGGTACAAATATTCAATATTTGCCTGTGACATGTAGTAAAGTCAAAACGTCCTAGAAACCTCAAGTGAATTACACCCAAATTCTAATGGGAGCTCAGGTAAAGGTACCCGGTAACGTTCAAATGCAGAGGCTTTCATATTGAAAAGAAAGTACATTCTCATCACCGCAAACGTTTTAAGTTTGTTGCTTTGTCTCTGTGACATAGAGTTTTATTGTGGTGTTTTTCAGTGATGACTGGCTGTAAGGTGAACAAACAGCATGTTCACCTGTGAGAGGTGATCAATACTGCACATTCTTTGGTATAACCTTAGAACAACATTTATTCATCCAACACGTTTCAGGCTGTCTTATGGATTTGGTGCAGGGAAAACAGGAACAGTGAAGCTCCCCACACCCTTAAGGTATTTTCGGGGACGGCTCGTGCTACTGTGTTTGACTACTGTCCTTCATCTCTGGCTGCATCCTGTATTTATGAGCTTAAAGGATTACTAGACTGTTTTATTCAGGCACTCAAGGCGTTCACGTCAGGTAGGACTTCAACGCTCTCTGTTGCATTCGTTGGCCACTGACCACACACGATAGTAAAACGTGCCCACAACAGAGTACTGCATGGAATAATCTTTCTCTCTCTTTCTCTAAAAGAAAGTCTTGCATGGGAGACTAATTTCAGTGTCGCGATGGAGGATTGTCTATCTGGACTAAATTCAGAGTCACTCTCTTACATGATCATGGATCATTGGGTCAATGCTCTCGGCTGGACACACGTGGAAACAAGATCAACACCTTTTCTTTTAAAAGCTAGATGTCAGCATTGTGCCTTTGTAAATAACCTACAGTAAGTCTGCTGTTGTTTAAAAAGCGTCCAAAAACTTTTAAAAATCATGATGTTCTGTGTTAAAAAATACTGGAAGCTGACTGGCTGCAATACAGCTTTGCATCACCACCCAATATAACAAGTTAAATCAAATCTAAAGTCCTATAGATTTGTTCTAGCAAAATATATATCATAATAAGTAGAGTTTCATTTTTTAATTTGCAAAGACAAGTATTTAGGATTTTGTTGCATCTCCACATCAGTTCATACATAAATATACCACATTAACTCATTTTACAATGTACTTTTTTGTGGTGTGCTCTTAAATATAAAACAGTAGAAAGAGGTTCACCCTGTTCTTTGGCACCTTAAAAAATGAAGAATTTAAAGCCACATGCAGCATTGGTCGGATTTTCTGCTTTGAGTGATTCAAAGCAGAAGAGTCCAGGAGAAATAGCCTAGAGGTGAGATTATGTACTGTAATCTATAACATGATGTAATATGACATTATCATATGGTGATAAGTTGATTTAAGAAACTTCACGTCATACATTGTTTTTGTACTTTACGTTACAGCCTGGCTCATGCACAAATAATTCACTTTACTATTAACGAAAACTCCATTCATCAGCACAACCTGAAAACTATTTTTATCCATTTCTTTCTTACTAAAACGTACACATGTGTTTTGCACATATTCAAATCAGAAAAGTCATTATCTCATAGTGCGCCCATGAATACTATCAAAAACATCAATGGGGCTGTGACTGTCCATTGATATAAGCATGCAAAAGTCCTGAAACCATTACTCTTATCAAGCGTGTCAAGATTGGGAAGGCCATGACAAGTATGGTTGTTTTTATAGTGAGTAATGTAAAATTGCCACAGACGTCTACGTCGTTCAATGAACCTACAAGCTTTTGGTAACTTTTAATCAGTAATCAGGAAACACATATCTACCAAGTTTGGTAGACCAAAGGTCAAACGTACAGTGGAAGCTGCTTTGTCATGGCCACACACTATTATTCCATTCAATTTTTACTTCTTACCCTGGTCATGGATAGTTTGCCACTGTACAATGAATATAAAAGGTTGGTTCCCTCTTTTGTTGTTTTAATCTTAACAGGGAACCATGTGGTTTCCCCTCACTCATTTGATTCACATGATATGGAGAGTTTCCCAATGTTATGACAACAGCAAGCTATTACAGACCGTCTGAAAGTCCTGGCCTGCTTCATTTGAGGCCCACTGCCAACATATTTCTGCATTCTTTCCCTTCCTGTTTAATGATGCAGACATTGCAGCGGAGAGGGAAACTCACGCAGACTCTCACTTCAGCCTCTGCGGTATGAAATGACCGTCAGAAATATTGTGCGCGCTTCCCGCCGCAAGTTGAATGAATATGTGCTTCAAGTTCTCCTCCTCCACAAGTTATTTCTTCTCCACAGTGCTCACATGACAACATTGGTACAGCACCAGTCAAAAGCACGGGCACATTTTCACACAATGAAGTGTCCACACCTTTGACACCTGCACATGCAGTTCTCTGATTTATTTATCAGCTAAATTCCGCATGAGCCTTTTCCCCTCTTTTTCACTTTCTCCCAGTAGGCTCTGACAACAGTGTCAAGACCCCACTGGCAACTTATGTAGATGTTCCAAGACCTCGCCGAAAATGGCTGCCATGGTGCGTCGGTGCTCTTCACTCTGAATCATTGTGCTGATCAGACATCTTCAACACCTCCAGATATGTCACATACCAGCTTGCTTCAAGGCCTCCACCATCATCCCTGTTTGTGGACTTCAGCTTTCAACACCATTATCCCGTCTCTGCCGCAGGACAAACTCCTACAGGTGGGAGTCTGACCATCTGGTGTTGTGGTGCAGCCAGGACAACCTGGAGCTCAACGCTCTGAAGACAGTGGAGATGGTTGTGGATTTTAGAAAGAACGCAGTCCCACCTTCTCCCATCACCCTGTGTGACTCCCCTGCCATCGTCGAGTCCATCCTCTGCTCCTCCATCACCGTCTGGTACACGTCAGCCACAGCCAAGGACAAGGGCAGGCTGCAGCGTTTGTGTCACTGTTTGTGCCCCTTCCATCTGACAGGAGGCTGAGGTCCATCAGGACCAAGGCATCCCATCACACAATCAGTTTCCTTCTGCCGGCAGTCGGGCTCAGAGCCCGGGTCCCCCACTCTGGCTCTGTCATCCCCTTTTTTTCCCCATCCCCACCAGTCACTCCCTTCACACTACACATGCACATACACTTACACTTGTCACTTTCACATACACTCACAACACAGTTGTGTAGAGTATGGTTATCGCTTGTGCACTTTATTTTTAACTTTTATTTTTAATTTAAATTCCTTATTATCCTTTATTTTTAATTGTCTATTCTATATCCAACCCAACCCATAAGCCTTTATATTTTATTTATTAGAGTTAAATTGCAAATTTGTAAATTGAACATACCATTTTCTTGCACTTTCTTGTTATCTTATCTGTCTTGTTGTTAAGTTATTTACAATATACTAAAGTAAAAATAAAATCATTTTGGATGATTAAAAATCAAAAAACCAAGTGCCACCTACAAACTGCATGGCTTTGGATAAATAACAAGTTCTTTCACTTCTTCTTTTCATTCACCTCCATTGTACGCTGACACAGGTATCCCAAAACCAGTACAAACCAAAACCAAAACTGAAAGTCACACAGTGAAACAACCCTTTAAATCTGGGATCGTGGCTAAACACCACACTTGCTGCCTTGCAGAAGAAGTAGTGAATGCCAAACGCATTGAGTGCAAGTTAACTATGAAACAAACAGATGGAAGTCATGATGAAGTGGGGGTGGAGGACAGGTTTGAAATGGGTAAACAATGGAGACACGGGTGAATCCATGGCACGAGAGACCCATCTGGTTTCACATAGAAAATAACGTTTTTGTATGAATGGTATGTCTCTGCTCCGTGTTTGATGTGAGTACTGGAAATGCATGACTGTCGTTTGATCTCATGGAGAAAATGAGAAAACATGCTCTGTTTCTTTAATGATTCATTGTGGGGAAGTTTTCTTTACTACATGTAAGCTTACAGGCAAGACCAATAAATGCACTCAAGATGGTCTAAATAACAAATCATGAAATGTTGAATTCTTAAAGATTTGAATTACAATTACTTTTTATTCTGTGTAAAACAGATCTTAATGTATTTAATAACATACATATTGATTAAACTGAATAATTTTCAGCATTTGACAGTTTGTTTCACAAAACAATCAAATTGGAAACATCATCTTGTCCATGAACTATTGGGATGGGCGTTT